ARKWAAAAAAAATCAAAGTGAAATTACCGTTGACGAGCAAACAAAGCAACCGCAACGGCGCTGTTGCCAATTACGCCTCCTGCTCTTTGTACGTACGTATGTGTGTATAAGTGTTCATATATATATAATCCGCATGCAAAATTAGGTATCTCTCAACAGAGGTGATATTAAAGTGGATGGTTGGCGGTCGACAGTAAAAATATTTATGTGTGCAAAAAGGCATCCTAACAAAATGAACTGGCGAGTTAGATGGAATGGGCTCAAATATAAAGAACCGTTAAGCCGGTCCATTTACAGATTTTTGTGACGGTTGGAGCTTCGCTCAATGAAAGCATCGATGTCTGTCACTGTAAAACATTTCAAATCGGCAGTGTTGTTGTGGTTGCCTTTGTGTTCGCCTACAAAAACTACGAGTAAATATTTTATAACAACAACAATGTGTGTATATATGTGCCTGCAATATGTTTTGAACAATATCCCTACAGCAGGGCCACTCGCCGTGAAATGTCCTTTTCAGAATTCGCTCCCACTGCCTCGCTCAGSGCAACGTGCCCAGCACCGAGCAATGCAAATGGGTAATTTATTTTTATTACAAACTTGGCCAATTTCATTTCTAATCACAACCCATGCCAGACCACGAACGCAAACAACAATTTGGGGGGGGCGAACATGTTCGGGCGAAACCAAAGGTTTTGTGCCAAGCACATGTTGCATGAATGGAATTTGTTCCGATTAAAACATATTTTGAAATTTCATAAAGCTTTTCGAGTGTATATTTTGAGGTTCCAAATTCATATTTTGGGGGGGAAATACGCTTCTCTCTCCACCTCCTTCTAGCACTTACCAGCCTGCGTCACCATGAGTGCGTGTCTATATCAGACACAATTGTGTGGGCGTCATTCATGCAGGCATAATACCCGCTTTAGCTGGTTTTACTGGGGTATAACAAAGTCCAAGGGAAAGTAACAAAAGCACAGCAAGCAGCACAAAGCTTCGAGCATTTACACAGCTTCGCAATTGAATTAAATTGAATGTAAGTGTCAAAGGGCATTCCCAACAACGGGCATTTAGTTTTTAGTGTTTGTATTTTTGTGGTTTTTGTATATTTACGGCTATTTGTGTGTGTGTTTTCGGGCTTATTTATGGGCATGAGTTGCTATTTGAATTAGCTCCATTTCTAAACGCTGCAAAACGAGCAACGAAACTTTCCAAACATTCCACTGACCATCCCTGGCCCGGCACCCCACTGCCAGTGGACACTGGAGGCACATATTTCGCAGTGTTTGCATATGCTTGCATAGCAGCGTTTAATAATGCGCTTTGCTGGTTATTGATCACTCTTGGCGGACAAGCACAGCCACTTATTGTCGTAATTTCACCATAATTACCCACCACACTTCGCTAAAATTATTCAATTTACATATACACAAATATATTTAAATACTGAGCATTCTGTTCACAAGCAAACACACAACGCACACAAAGAGCGTGAAATAATTGCATTTCATTACTTACAGTGCACGACCATCCGCCACTTGTCCTCGATGGAGCTGTTTTCGATGAATTGATTTTCGGCACGGCACGTCAAATACTTGCCATCGTCCTCGCGAGTGGGCGTGAATGTCAATATGCTTAGAGATTGGTTGTCGGGTTCATTAAACTGTTGTGATGGAGTTAAGCAGGTTGCCGCAGCATTGCCAGGAGCAGCAGAGAAAGTGGGATTAAAATTAGGAAAATTATTAACTTACGATAAAAGTTTTGAAGCWTAAAAATTTTAATTTTTCGGTGCTTAAAGCATGTTATTCCACGYCTTAGTACATAATATTGCTACGATGGTATCAATAATTGAATATTTCATGAGTTTGAGAATTGCTCGCGGTTTTTCTATTATTCATGTAAAAAATCAAGAAAACTGATTTTCAAAATATGACATTTTGGGTATTTTCTTCAACTGGGGTTTCAAAATAATGCTAAATTTTAACTTAAGCAGTGTTATTTAGTAAAAACTGATTAAAGAGTAAAATATGGTACATCTTTCTAATTTTCATATACAAGTGCTATCTTCATATGTATACTAGCAATCGGTTTCTAACACAGATCACGACATGTATTTATGATAACTCAAAAAACCATACATTCTTATGAGTTTAGTCAAAATAAAACAATTGTATTCCGTGACTATATTGGGTTTTTGAAAAATACTCTACATGGAGGTAATTAAAGGAGACGGTGCGTATGAGTAATTTTACTTAAGCAAGCACTGTACCAGGAAGTGAAAGGACTAAAAAAATTTCAGTTGTTCTCTTAAACTAACACTATCATGCAGCGCGTACACAGGGTAGTAAAATACTTGCGTGGAATATACTAATATAAAATATTTGTAGGAAATTATAGAAAATTTGATAATTTTCCTAAGACTTCTGGGATGGTTATAATTGGAATATATATATGAGTGGGAAGTAAGTTATCCGCGTTATACTTACATTTTTCGTGAATTTTTTCAACTGCTTGTTGTTGCGCCACCATGTAATGACCGCAGCTGGTTTCGAACCGGAAGACTTGCACTCAATGTCGTATGTGCGATCAGCAGACACGAAGCGATCCTTCGTCATTATGTGCACAGCGACTGGTTTTACTACAATTGAATAAGATTTGCAAATAACACGGCTTATGAGCGTACTACATTCATTATTTTAAAATCAAAGCTCATTTACTAACTCATTCTAAAATTTMAAAAAAAGAAAAAAATAATAATTTAAAACTCGCAGAAAATTGAAGTTTTAGTAAAGCTCTATATAAATCGTAATCACTCTATTAGCGTTACGACTTACAGATTACCAGATTTGCTTAMATATTTTAGCGAAATTTGTTTTGAGTCATAAATTTTGCAAACATTTTAAACTAAAATTTCCTTTTCTGTAAATGAAAAGTTTGCTTGTGTGTTTACGGATGAAATTCACTCTGCAATAGTGATACTTACAATTGACATCCAGTATGACCACTTTGTTGTTCGGCGGCGTCAAATTCGTATTGCTCGCCACACAAACTAATCTCGCATTCAAATGTTGTCGTCCAATATTTGGATATGACAAGTGGTTAACAGTCTTGCCGTCCGGGCGATGCTCGAAAGATTCATCAATCACCGTATTATCTAAATACCATGTTACATTTGGACGTGGACGTCCTGTTGCAAGTGTTGACCAAGCACACATACACACACCCATATGCACGAGTGATGCAGAAGGGCGTCCACAACAGTTTGTTTTTGTTTTTGTTTTTGTGTTTGTGTTTGTGATTTTGTTTTCGGTTTTGGGTTTTGTTTTTTATTATTAGTGGCCATGACAGCGTTGTTGGCAACAACCGAAGTGATGGCAGCAGCAAAGGCAACCAGCAACAATGGCAACATCAGTGGCAGTAATGTTCCAGTTACGCCAAGTAAAAGCAAGTGGAGCAAAGAGAAAAAATAAAAAATAAGAATAATAGAGAAGAGTTGAAGGAATACAAAGGCGCGCGGAAAGAATAAAAAGTTTGTGAAAAAGTAACAAAAAAATAAGGGAAAATAACGAAAAATGCGGTAAGTTCGCTCCGAAAAAATTGTGTAAAAATAAATGAATGTGGAAAACAAAGGAACGAGAAAAATCGGTATTGAGAAATATTTTTGCCAGTTCATCATTGTCAGTTAAGTTGCACAGTTGAGTGCGGCGGCCATTAGTTAGTTACATGTTTATTATTGTTGTCATTGTAGTTGTTGGTGTAGTTTATATTCGTTGATGGTCCATTGCAGTTATTCATTTTATTATGGTTTTTTTTTTGTTTTTTATTTTCGGTTTTCGTTTACGTAGCCAAGAGTTTTTTCGTTCATATAAAACAGCACGAAATGGATTTTAGCCATGAAGATGACATAAATTGTAACGGAGCGCATGTTGTTGTCCCAAACGGTCCCACATGGTCCCATGCAGCGCCATTGGTAGTGTTGAGAGTTATGTATGGTATGTGTATGTATGGTCCAGTGGCGATGGTTGTGGTGGTTGAGATGACAGCATTATCAAATGTGACAGCATCAATCGTTGTTGTTTTTGTACCGGAAATGATAGAAAGCAGAGATGGTTCAAATTAGTATTTCGATCTCCCCACGAGACATTCTTCAGAATTGATTGGCACAAATAGAGAGTAGCGATAAAACTAAAAAAAAATTACAACTTAGAAATCTTAAAAAAAAAGTATTATTTTTTTATTAAAAATCTTAAAAAAATTTATTGTTTTTTTATTAACAGTTAATTATTTGAATCCCATTTTATATGGATGGTGGTTGCATTTCCAATKAAATTATTTTATACTTCTACTAAAGAACATATTTCGGAGCAAAACTCAACATAGGCTTATTTACGTTCCTCGGAACTATTTACGTAAATTATTGAAATCATATTTTCATAATCTGTTTCATTAGGATTCTTATTAACAARTTTTTCAGTAAGTAGGAAGTTTTCTTACCGCCTGTCACTTCACAAGCCAGCACTATATCCGTTCCTTCGTTAAACGACTCCACATTACTGGCCTTATCATGTCTGTTAGGGCCATAAATGACTGGACGATCCGGTGGCACTAAAAAAAGACAAATAGTGAGCTTATAATGTAAAATTTAAAAAAATAAAATTATAAAATGACTAGTCTGTTTCACATATGGCTTCCACTATAATTTATAATTAACACTTGCCAATATGACCGCACATGTACTAAATTGCGCAACAGCGATACTCTAACGCTGGACCAAATGCACCTTACGGGAAGTACCTTCAGAAATTCGAAAGTGATTATGTTGCTGCTCTTTGGATATTGGAATGAATGGGCGTACACACTTGTCTCTATGTACAATTTTAGCGATAATGTGTAGCAAAGTTCTGTAGAAGCCTTCAAATTATTGTGAGCGAGCTTTTATAGTTGCAAGCCATGCCTCTTCYTAATGAAGACGAAGTACTAAACAATGCTTTCTCTTTCAGTTACTACAAATGCGTTACGGTATGTGTAAACGAAAATTTTTGAATGTCCGTCGYAGTGCTTCTTATACAATTGCCTTCCAGAGCATATATAACGCCATAGATCTGTGCAAAGGCAACTATTTTATGAATGTGTTTTGGAAAATTGCTCAGTTTCATAAATAACTGTTTGCGTTGCACATTTTAGCAATGCCGAAAATACCTCTAAACATTTATTATGGCATCAAAAGTCGAGTCGGTTCATTTATTTGCTGTTAKTTACAGACATTCGCATTGTGGCTTATCTCTTGCATCGCAACTGAAATTTATACGCATATATACATACGTATGTATGTATTTGCAAACAGACATGCATGCAATCACACATACGCACTTGCAACACTTTAAACTTGTAAAATATTTTTCAAAAGGGGAAATTGTTCTGACAGTTAGTGGAGACATATGTTCTACTTAGAATACATTTTGACAATCAGTCTTTAGTTAGGTATCTTTGGGTAATGAAGTATATATTCGGCCATCTTAACAGAACTTTTAATTCTCGGAAATGAAATGTTTTCTTATGCATAGGACAGTTAAATATTATTGCACAAATAAAACTCTAAATGACATTGAGAAGTTTGTAATTAAAATTTCCCTAAAAATAATATTTAAAAAAAAATTTATTTTGCTAAGTTTTTAGGACTGTTCTTAATTACTATGCCAATATGAGCGCAATCTGTCAACCAGCTATAAACAAGCAGCTGGGTGAACAACCGTCAAAAACGGCCGGAATTGTGAAAAAACAATTTGTGGATTCACACGATGTGACCGAATTTAAAACCAAAAACGCAATGAACACCATCGATAAACTACCGAATTCATCGGATTTGGCTACGTGTTCCTTAAAACTAAAATAGCCGTCAATTGAAGAGATAAAACAAAATTCGCTGGAGAAGCTGAACGCTATCGCAAAATGTGTTTATGAAAAGTATTCGGGGACTGGAGAAATCGTTAGCATAAGTGTATTACATCTGATTGAGATTAATATCGTCACGACGAGGGGTTCATTAAGTGAAATGATTGTGTGAGAGACACCGGCGGTTGTTTAGCTATTGACAATTTTTCCTAAATCGGTAAGATCGAAGACTTAGCGTCTACCTTAAACAATAATGACGGCTATTGAAGGCGTCTATCTCTAGGTTACTTTCTGGTTATACTAGATTACCGAAAGCGTGTGTTTCATATGGTGTATAATTCAATAATTTTTCTTTTCAAAGACTCGATAACTAATTGTCCTTCAACTACAAGTATATCTTCAGGTCACAACTTTTGTAATATACATACATACATACTCTCGTACATWTGATATTACAAGGCGATACAAGACTGGAACAAAGTGTAAAACTCCAYCCGACCTTCGAAGATTTAGTCAACAAAGTCTGTGCATTTGCTGCGCACAAATGGAGATCCCTGCAAGTGTTTTGTGCGTCTTTACTATATTTATTTGTTAATATAAACGCTATGCAACGGAACGTGTTCAATGCCGTGTAGAGCAGCAAATAACAGCAAATAATACGTGACAAATTATGCTTACGGATTGGTGATTACCGTTGCGCAGTGGCAAACTGACAAACGTGCACCATGAACAGGTACAACAACAAAAGCCAACACCATAAATATACACGAGCAATTAGTAGGGAAAAAACGTCAGCAACATGTATCAACATAACAACAGGAGTTGTTGCATCACTCGCACATGCATTCAAGCATGTCTGCTAATACATATGTACGCATATGTGTGTKTGCGTGTGTACCCAGTCACCTTAAGACTAAAGTGCAACCAGTTTAGCCGCATTAAAAACCACAACAGATTGCCATTTACGGCTACCCCCGTTCCMCAGTGGTTGGCTTTTGGCTCGTGACGTACGCTATGCGGCGACTAGCAAACAACAAATACACGAACCGAAATATACACACAAACATTTGCTGTATTTGAAATATTTATAGTTGGGAAAATCATTCCACTGGCGCTACGGCAACAATCCGCCGAGTTTTGTACTACACGAGTAATTTCAAGCGACGCCAAAACACGCCATCCCAAGCGCACATATATGTACACACACACACCAGCGTATAAATGGCGTAGTTGCAAACCGTAGTTAGCGCATTGAACTGGTCAAAAATACAATGTAAACAAAATAAGTAAATTGCTGTCACGCAGCATTTTCTGCACATTGAACTTTGCATGTTGTGGCACATTTTTACTTAAGCACTAAATTAATAGCGGCAACATGCAACTGTAAGCCCCGAAAGCTCACGATTACCATTGCTGAGCACTGAAGGATTACGTAGCAAAGCCGGAGTACTCCACTTATAAATACATATTGGCTGATTGCTTAGTCACTTTCCAAAACGCTTTAAATATACACTGCACAACAGAAATGTGGAGCCAAACTTTAAAGTTTGAAAAAATATATGTAACTTGCTGCATGTATTATACCTAATACTATCAACGCAAATAAGGTTTTTGTCTAACAGATACGTTGTGGCTAGCACTTCCAGTTTGCTTAGTATTTTGAAAAAACACTCCTTAAACAAGTAAGGAAGGGRTAAGWTCTGATAYAACCGAAMATTTTATACTCTTGCATTTTACGGGGATTTAATTTTTTCAGGTACATAATGCTACTTAGTTATATGGGGTCTAAGGAATGTTTTCAMCTTTCATCTCCTCATCGTTCTAAGCTCAAATATGTACCGTTATTAAAGAAATACGTTCTCTCAGTTTTATTAACACAACTTAGGTATATGGGGGTCAGGGAAGTATTGACCTGTTTCAACCCACTTTTGATACACAAAATTACTATTATCAGAAAAGCAGTCTGTCTGAATTTCAATTGTATAGCCCATATATTTACCGATATTTTCGGTAAAAAGTCAACTATAGGCACTGGGGCTTACAAATTCAGTACCTAGGCACTTGAACAGTTTTAGCTCGGTTTAGACAATTTTTGGTCATAATATGACATTTTATCTCATTAAATTAATTACTTCTTGAATTGAACACTTATATATGAAAGCATCACATGGAGAATTAAAATTGGCTTAAATGTGAGTAGACATGGATGTTGGCATGCYCATTGGCCATCTTGACTATGGTTCTTTTGAAGCCCTCTCACACCATTTAGGTGGTAAAMTTTTATGTCAAAGTCTCTGCCGTGTTTAGTTATTGTTTAATCGCGCTTTTAGTATTAGTAGTAGTATTTAAAAGTACCGTTATATCGGGAGTGAGCGTTGTTGTCTTCCGGTTTCATCCCTTCCACACTGTCTTAATTTTTAAGTACCTAATTTTTTCGATTGCATAGGCGGAATKATGGACGGACGGAGARTCACACGGATTTCAACTCATCTCACYCCGATCGTATATMTATATTTTGGATAGTCGGAAAAACCTTTTCGTATTTATTCAATAGATTTCGCTGCAGTTTCGCTTKGTGATCGACCCCCAGCCAGTCCGAGGCCAACCGTACGCGAGTGCTTACTTCTACCAATTATCCTTACTTTTACTGAAGTTCTTCATCTTGGGAACCACATTAAGCAAATATTATCTGTATTTATGCAATTTTGATCTTTACAAACAACATCTGTATATACATATATTTTTCATATATTCCGGGAAATAAAAACTTTCCTTGAGCAAATTGCCATGTATAAGTTTCTTGATGGTCTGTTCCATAAACTTCATTTCGCAATAGCTTTCAACCTAAAATTGAGATATAAAACTTAAAAACGAGGTCAGTTCTGCCCGTTGGCGATTTTTTATGAAAACGTCAGCTGATGATATGGGCGGACAATAAGCCGCGAGTGTCTTTTGCACGCAGGGACGTGTGTACAAYCTCGCYAAATGTGCTTAAAGCACACTGGGCCGCATAAATCTCTTAAAAACAACAAACAAGAGGGTGGAGCACTCACAGGCAACTTTATTGCCTTTCGTGCCACAGCAGTGCTGTCACAAATACGGTCGAGGCGGCGGTTACCAACTGCAATGAAGAGACAATTGCCAGACAGCCCGCCTATTGCATTGCCTTAATGCTTTATGCCATCACAGCGTCATAATTGCTGTGATTGTTGTTATTGTTATACTCTCCCTTCGTACTGTACATAAGTACGTAGGAAAAATTACATGTTGCATAARCGAACACATGCACTTGCACCGCGCCTAATGACAATAAAATGATTGTTGCACACACAGACGAACGGCAGGACAATGTGTGTGTGCGGAAGTAGCAATGGAAGTATGCATGAAATGCCAGACCCTTTGTGTACGTTGGAAGAATCAAGCGAGTTTTCTTTTTTGTTTTTTGCTGTGGTTGACTACGGTGTATATGTTGGTGTGGGTGTGTGCTCGGGCTTGGGGGAAGGGCGAAAGCATGTTTGGGAATAGTCGTCCAAATCGATTTGCAGATATTCTGTCCATTTAATCGTCGTTAATTCGCCATTTGCGTTCAATATCCATTTGTAAGCAAAGCCCAGAGCTAATCACGCACACAATTGGCAGACAAATTTTCGTAGGGCCTCATATATTAATATCCACTGCGTTCATTTACATAATCCTCTTTTGAATACTTACCAATGACGGTGAGATTGATTTTCAGATTTCGTGTTGGCGAATTGCGAAAATCCACACGACACCGGTAGACGCCTTCGTCCTCGATGCGTACGTTATCGATTTTCAGCTGTGCCGGGTGGGACGTGCTGCTGAAGTAGGCGCGTGGCCCGAATGCCAATTCGGAAGACCACAGCCGCGCCTGTCCAAATTGACGGCCGCGCACGTCGAARCTGTTTCAAATATGAAAATAGTTTGAGTTTTAGGCGAAATACATACATTATTTGATATTCCGCAAATTATGCTGATGTTGCTTATAGAACTTACTTATAGATTGGCTCTCCGTCACCCTCCCGAAACCACAGCACCATGTAAACTGCATCGTCCCGTTCCATTGGAGAAATATCACAAGGCAGCATCGCTTGTCGACCCAGCACGCCTTGCACCGGCGTCAAGGGCACTGAAAAGAAGAGCACAAATGAAAGTTTTTATTTTGGAATGGCTGCTGGCTTGGATGGAGGTATTCTAATGGCATATTCTGAAATTTCGAGAYGTACAGCTTGGCGCTTTTTAGACAAAGAGCTATAAATTCCCTCTAATTTATTTTTTAATCAACTGCGAGACATTTTTATTAATGTGTTTTAATAAATGAAACCTTCTCACAAATTAATGGTATGTATGGATGCTTTAAACCAATCCCAGGGCACCAACACAGAGTTAAATTTTTAAAAAAATTCTTTCATAAAATTTTGACGTAGGTGGGCCATAAACACGGTCTCTATTCGCAATCAATGTAGAATCCTTGCAATACACCCTCAGTTGGACTTTAACGTTGCATGACTAACTCGAATTGTAAAATGCGAACAAGCGACCACCAGCAAAAACTGGCAATTGCAAGTTTCGGTAAGATTTTGAGCTGCGAGAATGTAGCAGAGTGGTTCGGCTCCGTTGCCGCACCAACAGACGTTGCAGATATTCCCTCGATAATACATCACAAGTCCATAAAACACAAAATTTGACATGCAACATCTTGAACGCCTCGGAGCGGCAGATAAGCAAACTTGGCAACTAATGAGTAATGTGGCGAGGCGATGCATAGGTCCGCGGAAGGCTGCGTGCAAGAAGGCAGCAGCCGAACATCGCTCTTTAAGTTTTTTTTTTCAATTTTTCATCCTCTTCTTCATTTATATTACAAAACCTGACTGCTGCKTTTTGGCTGACAGCCATCAGCTCGGCGCGCTTGTTGGACACAGCCACTCAAAGCAGTGGAGGTATGCAATTATCAGTGTGAGGCAGAAGTTGCCAGCATGCAAAATTCAGCAAGAAGATGCCAGGCCGCTGCCACTGGCTTTGGGTTGTTCCAGCTGTTGGTCAGTTCACACTCGCTCGCTCGCAAGACAGCTCATCCATATTTATAGTACGTGCATATGTGCATGTGTGTGTATGTGTGTATGTGTGTTGGCGTGTAGCTACGATTTCATTTCGACGCTGGCCAACAGTGGCATTTAAGTGGAAGAAGATGAGTAAATTAAGATAAATTACTACTTTTGCACTGACAGCCATGGCGTTTCTTCGTTGTTCCTGCCCCGTGCTCCATTAGTGGCRCAACTCCACGCGTGCGTGCCAGCCAGTCACATCACAAGCTATAACAATGAGATTAGTTGGTGAAAAATGTTCCAAATTGATTGGCGCTTACGACCGAGGCTACCGCGCACAAACACCTCAGCCTCAGTCCACCATTCATAAACAGCGCTACATGTGTGAGTCTAACTAACGGTGGTTTCGTAACTTATTGCACCGCCCAACGCGCTGCAGAAGTGATTAAGTTGAAAACAATGAAGTGAATTATGTTGACGTTCGTGGAATTGCAGTTGATCAAATTAGCTCGTTTCGGTTTGGCGTTGAGGAAACGGATAGTTTATCTTCGCAAAAGAAACTGCGACAGTTGCCAATTTTTATTTTGATGTTCAGCGATTTTTCAGTGGATGGCTAAAATGGAGAAAAAAAAAAAACCAAAAAAAAAAAAAATTTAACGGTAGTTGACTTGAGATTGTGTTGCTGATATTTTCGAGTCCGTTTTGCCCACAAGATGTCGCTAAAGTCCAAATAATAAGAAGAGTTGTATGTCTTGAATATATCTCAAGTATATGGTCGCGAAGGAAATTTTAGGGCTCCTTTTTTTCAAACTAGGGCCTCCTTCACTCCGCCCATAACCGCGRTTGTTGCAAAAGTACAGAGCCRCAACAAGATTCTCAAGTCGTTAACCGGTAGCAGTTGGGCCAAATACAAATRGTCGCCGAGATGCAGCAGAACGCAGATGAAGGAGATACAGACCTGTCAGAACACCGCACTACAGACCATAACATAATTTATTCCATAAAGCATTTACMTGGTGTGGCCCGAAAGCCTCTTGTAAAGAAACGTAGCATATTTCTCTCCAAGACATTTCTGCTCGGGTGTTTGCGCAGAAACCATCCTTTCAGTCACTTGCTTGAACAATATACCGACCAAATTTTAGAAGAGCTATAACGCCGTTCTTGACTCCGCCTTTATTGACCCTTTATAGTGAATTATTCAGAATAGGCCCTGGTTTACAAAAATATGCCCTGCATGCAATGAGTCTCCGCATGAAACTGCAATGAGTCACCGAATAAAACCAAATCCAAAAAACTTAACTCCCTCTCTCTAAGGGGTGCGAAAGCGCTGAAACAGCTGGTTTCCTGGGCCTACCGTTAAGTGATTTCGGGGGCAAAAACTTTCCTTACAAGAAGTTCATTTTAATATATCGATTTTTATGGCAGAAACTAAGAGGTTAGTTCGAATKTATCTACCGACAGAAAGACGGACATGGATAAATCTACAATATCATTTATATATACATATATTTTATAGTCTGGGACGATCTCTTCTGATTGTTACAAAGTTTATGGCAAACTTAGTATACCCAGTTGTTGCAACTTCCTAAAGGCACAACCAGATTTGTTTATGTAATTTTTTGAGAAATCTGTCCACACTTTCAGCAGAAATTGAATTACGTTTGATCAAATTTTCATCGATACATATTTCATGTGTATAACTTAAAACCCAATGGTACAGTTAGGTGGGCATGGAAAGATGATTTGTCGAGGAGGCAGATGCTTCCAAAATGGTTGCAAAGCTTTCGAGTAAGCTGCCTTCGACAAAACCCGTACCATTGTACATAAATACATCAATATAATACAGATATACTCTGTAAGTGTGAGTATGTGTGCGCTTGTATGTGACTTGGGCTTTGTGTGGTATTGAAAATTGCATTGCGGTCGTAACAATCGAGATATTAATCTGATATACAATCAATAAATGACCCAAAGATATCATCGACCTAACAGCTTCAACAACAGCAAAGCAACAACCCCAACAACAATGGCAAGTAAGTGCCGAACAGGAACAGCAAGCCGACGTTGAACTGCCAGCCATCCTTCGTCCATTGCTTGCCGACTCGCCTTCAACACATTGTCGCATATTTGGGATATTTAAATGGAAAACACATCCGCCTGCACAAATGCCGGGGCATATGCATACATACCGGTATTTTCAATTTGGGTCGTCCTTCTCCGGCATTGCCACACAGCCAATTGTGGCAATTGTAATGGTTGTTGCCACTTTGGACTTATTCAAGGTGTAAAATCTTTTTCGTTTTTGTGTAAATTTCTTTGCAAATACTTATGTTTAGACCATTCAGTCGATTGTCGTGCCACAATGCAATAACAACAACAAACACGTTGAGCACTCAGTGAAAGGCAGGATTTCGTTTGGCGCCGCAAGGCGTTTTCATGGGTGATAAAATCACATGGGGCATATAAATCAATTTTTATGGTCGCCTGCACTTAGGTTGAGCACACACACACGCGCACACACTTGAGCAGAGGAAATACGTACACTTGATACGTAGTGGACTTGAAGGTACAACAAAGACCGAAAATTTACGCCTAAATAGATGTACTAAAATATAACTTAAACTTTCTGTTGCTACAATGGCAGCCGTCCTTTGTTGCTGTTGTTTTCTTTATCTGACTTACTTATTTTGCGGCTACTGTTGTCGTTTCGCACCTCACACCAACCAAACACCCAACTTTTCGCCTGTGCATTTGTGTACATGTTTTGTAATGCGGTTTGCGGCCTTTGTCTGTGCGGCACGAACTCTTCTCCGCACCGAGTGAAACTCGAGATAAGCTGTCCCAGCAGCTGACACTGGCATTGAACTAACTCCAAATAAGCTGCTCTTAATTTGAACCATCGTGAACTGTTTGTTTGACTTAGGGCCTTGTTGGCTTCGACGTATTGGCGATACCCTCAGTGTCTCAATAGCTGTGCTGTCTTTCTTGGCTGAGGTGTTTAGAATTGTATTACCGTAGGAGCGATGATTATTAATGGCCACTGCAGTGGATGACGCAACAAAGGCACAAAAGCTGGCTCTCTCGCTTGCCACACAATAATGTTAGCCGATGTGTGCTTGGATAAGCGCAAGCTGTCTAATAAACCTAAAATTATGTTGATTGCTGGTTGCTGGTTGCGATGATGAAGATGAAAAGAGTAAGTGGTGATAGCAATGCTGGCTGGCGGGGGTCGGTGTGCAAAGCTCCTTTCTTGTTATTTAGCGATAAACATGAGTAATTGCTGAACTATGGAGTCACGAATACCTCCGTCCATATTTCTTCAGGCGATTCATGTAGGAGTGGCCCAGTGCTGGGCAGGCTTGTGTGAAAGTAAGTGTCAGTGGGACACTGGGTAGAATGAAACCTAACTCTGTCACAGTAAGCATTAAATAACTGAGTACTTACTAACGGTGCTATTGCAATATCATTATCTTAAGTCATAAATATCAGAATGTTATATTGTACATACATACATACATATGTATGCAATATTGGTATTTCACTATATAATACTACTTATATAGTATTGCAGTGTCATCAGCCAGGCTTCAGTTAAATAGGTGAATGTATGGATATCATAGGATGTTTTAGACTGTCTATAGACTTATAAGACGGGTCTAAATTATAACTGTAATGGGTAAAAACTAAAAAACTTAAAATAATAAGAAAATAAGAAAGATTCGGACAGTAATCGATGCTAGATTTCATGAAGTTTTCCGATCCCATCGGCGGTTCCGAAAAATGATATTCTTGCGAAGAAAAGGACGTGTGCATAATTTCACATCTATAAGGTCCGTTCCAAAGTAAACAGGACTTAAAAAAAAACAGAACAACTGGATTTTTTTGCTAAATGAATTTATTTTATTGAAAATAGTCTCCTTCTGCTTCAATACAGCTTTTTACATAGTCCAAAAGCATATTCAACTAATGTTTTGGCTTGTTGGCCGGTATGGCCGCCACTATGCCGGTGCAAGCCTTTTGAATTTCCGCCTGCATAACGCTTTCCTTTCATCACTCGTGCACTCTGCTATCGCCATAAAATTGT